TGTTCCTTCTGCAACCCCAACTCCCTGGAAAGGCTCCCCAATCTGGTAGGAGCCATGTTGCTAATCTTGTCCTGGCAGTACACTTTTGCCTGTATACAGCCTGCTGCATCTAGCTCCTCCATACCAAGGAATTGGAGTTATCCAGTCAGCCTCCCAGCAGGTGAAAGTTGTTCTGGCTCTGAGTAGAACAGAGGCCAATGAGCTCAGTCCCAAATATCCTGCTGGATGCTTTGTGTGGTCCAGTGATTGATGACCTTGCAGGCATGATGTACCTGTGTCATATAATAATGCTTCGCTCTAACCCTAAAAGGATGGGTTCCCTTCACACAAGGAAGATCCTGGGGCATCTCACTCTGGGGTCTGCAGGCGTCACCACCACTAGGAAGTTCCCAAAGCCTATTTTCTTAGGCAAAAGGTGGAGGGGATATGCTAAAGAGGTATCATGGGTGACGACCTCTGCACCCCACAGATCTGGAGCATCTCACTCCTAGAAGGGTAAGTGGGCACCCCCCTGAGGATTCCAGAGCCTCTTTACCCAGGAAATGGGTGGGGGCTGCAAGCAGATCTTGTGGCCTCAGTCAACTCAAATTCTCAGATGCTTTGTTCTGTGTGAGGTGGACAGGAGTGATCATGGGAGATCCTATGTTCTGCCTTCTCTGATGCAGATGGCATTTGGCTACCTTCTAGCTTACAGACCATTTTGTTTGTCACTGGGTCAGAGGGCCATGTAGGGCTCCTAGGAAGCTTCTCTCAGGCAGGTATCTCGTAGGCCCTGGTGGTGCCTGGCAGCCTCTCGCCATTCTGTGTCTCTTGTACTTGCAGTTTGCATTGCTCACAGAGGTCTTGTTTTCTGTGGTCGTCTTCAGTAGTGTGGGAGGGGAGGGGTGTAGGGCATCACCTAATATTTGAGCACTGCTCTTATCCATCTGTCTTTTGTGTAGAAGCTGCCTGAGGATGCCTTGAGGAGATTGGGATTGGAACAGGTGAAAGCACGTCACCTTCCCCTCCACCTGCATGCCCATAGGCTCGCCCTGCCGCTGGGGACCGGAGGGGACAAGCAGATTGATTTGGTCTGCAAGCTCCCTGTTTGCTTTAAAATCTCATTAGAACGGCTGAAGCTGAACGTCCCAGAATTTCAAGAGAAGTGAGACAAGGCTGCAGCTGTCTGTCTGTCCCTACAGCTGCCGTGGAGCCAGTTCTGCTACGGAGTCTTGCTCCCCAGTTGCACAGGGCTACCTGCCTCGGAAGAAGCAATGTGAGGAGATCAGTAATCTCTGCTGCTGAAGGAAAACAACAATGGGACAGCGTGCGTTTTGGTTTGCTTGGCTGATCTTAAGCTGTTCAGTTCCCCAAGGGAGGTTTGAGCATCTGTGCAGAAACGTTACTGAAGTCAGGAAGAGCCCAGTAGTTTGCCATTAAGGATCCAGCAGAGGCTTGGCAGACACTGATCAGAGAGGAGTCCAAACCCAAGAAGTAAACTTCTTTCCAAACAGTAAATGATCTGGTCTCATTCTCAGCAGTGACGGTTTTCCAGGAGTCATTTAACATACGAGAAAGCCAAGTTGTGTGGGCCCTGGGGCTCCCGGCAGCTGTGGCTGAGCTGCCAGCAGCAGGAGGCACTAGCATGCCACATGTCGCCTCCGGTCCATTTATCAGTGTGCCTGTGTTGAGAAGTCCTATTTGGATTTCTACTGGGGCGGTAGTAAATTCTGCCTTGTGACAGAGTTGGCTCTTTTCCACTCCTTCCCAATGTTGGCTGGGGATCCTCCTTACCAGGGTGTGGAGAGACAGGGTTTTGGAGCTGGTCTGCACTATTGTGGGGTAAAGTCATGGGTTTGTCGCTCCCTCCATTCTCTCACTCAATTCAATAGGGAGCTGCAGCCTGGCATTAGCTGGATTCACACTATGAGAACTGGCACATAACTAGTGTCCACCCTGATAGAGGCTGGGACAGCACAGCCCTTCCAGACTGGTAACAAGAGCTCTGAATTGCTGGTCAGGCTAGTTGTTGCCTTCTCCTGGGGACATGTTTTAGAGGCAGTTAGTCATGGGCCAGTCCCTGCCTGTGACACCAGCTCTTCAAACTCATGGGAGTCTGAACATGAAACCAAATGGTAAACATGTGGCAACAGATTGGTTTTGCCTTGGCCAAGGGACTGCCCAGGGCCAGGGCATTGCTTTGGACACGTCCCTTCACCCACCCACTATGCCGTTGGATAGACATGCTGAAATTCCTACTACTCTTCACATTGCCTCCAGGTTGGCAGGAGGCAATCTGGCTTCTGTGCTTGAATGAACCCTGATCTTTGGGCAGAAACTAATGTGCTGGAGAAATGTGAGACCCACTCAGTTCAGGCCAGCCAGGGATAGGGGCATGGGTGATTCTCTGCAGTCATGTCCTTCCCCACGGCTTTTATCTCTTTTTTTCTTTCTTTTTTTTTCGTGGCTTTCTTCCAAAGGAAGCTTAGTGGTAGTGCAGCCTCTCCTGTTCCAGCCTTCTAGCCTAGTGACATACCTGAGATTGGCTCCCCTGTTTCTGCTACTGCATGATAGATGCAGCTAAGTTCCAAGAAGTAGGGCTGTTACTTTGAGATGCTGTGCAGGTGTAGTGAGGATGTAGATAAGTTTGTGCTGGTCCGGGGTTCCCCTCTGACGTCTGGGTGAGAAGCAGCCTTCAATGAAGAGCTTTCTTTGAAGCTTATCTCCCCTCCCCCCACTGCCCCTTGCACACACCCACCCAGTTTAAAGGTGGGATGAGTGGGAAGATGTTAAAAGCTGGTTGGCTAGGGAGGGCCAGGGTATGAGAGCACTCTGGGGATGCTTTAACCTGTTACACTTTAATGGTCTGGCTGGAATTCACATGCTCCGCTTGACTTAAGGAGGGCACTGCCCTTCCCAGCCTGGACCCTTACTTATTGCTTAAAATATTTGTCTATGGGCCAGAGTACAAGAAGTGTAGGTCAATGGAAATTAAATGAAAATGGGTTCTAGGATTCTTCCTGCAGTTTAACATGGTCCTTTTGTAACAGTGGAAGCATCTAGCTGTCAGTAAAGGGGTCAGATGGCCATGGGAGTGAAGCACCCACCAGGGTAGTGTCACCAAGAAATGCCCCATGAGCTCAGCCATGGGCAAGACCTTAATTAGAGCTGCACAGGGAGGAGTCTTCCTCCAGGGGCTCATACATGCTAATCCCCCTTCATCCATTCCATGCTTAGCCTGGGCATGGGACACCAGTGAGCCAGGAGAAAGGGTTGGCTGGCAGAGAGTTGCTGTGAGGGGAGGACCAAGCGAGTGTGGTCCAGCAACAGGAAAGGGGGGCCATTCATCCTTAACGGCACAGCAACATCTTGACTGCACCACTAGATTGTCCCATAGGCATTTCTATATCTGAGAAGGCTTGGCTGAGCTTGGCTGTAAGGGTGGGGCAAGATCCTGCACAAACAGGTCTGCCTGGAAGGAGCCTGGTGCTTGGGCAGGCCAGTGGAAGGGGTGTGGAGGGGAGCAAGTAGCTTGTCAGTGAGTTTGGTTGGGGAGTCAGGTGTGGAACACTGAACGTGGAGGGGATGGTAGGATCCCCACCTGTGCCCCTAAAGCAAGCAATTGCTAATGGATGGGATGTGTTAAGATCCGTGGGCCATGGGACGAAGAGTCACTGGCCAGGGCTGCTCCCCTGAGAAGAGGTAGGTGAGCTCCATGGGGTACTAAAGCAGTATCATTAACACTGAGCAGCAGGAGTTTTGCTTTTCCCCTTCACCTGTCCTTAAGGGTGCTCAGTAATAGTATGCAGTGCAGGGATCTTATCTGAGCAGCTGTGTCCTTTCCCTCCTTTAGTCTTACCTGCATTTTTGAGTTTTAGCAGGGCTTCCAGCCAGCGCTGGAGTCTGGTTTTGGCATGGTACGTGAAATGCCTCCCACACTTGCCTTGGAAACTAGTGCCTGGCATGGAGTCAGGCAGTGGAAAGGACTCTATCATGCCACCTTCAACATCCCACAGAGCTGGGGAACCATCTGGCTGGAAATCCCCACTGGCAGTGAGGGTTGGGGGTTATTACTGCTGATGCCTCCTCCCTTGACAACAGGAGCTGGGACTGGGACTGCTGCTTGCCTGTTTATTACCAGAGGTAAAAATAGCCCAGCAGCCCAACGCCCCCTCAAACGCAGCTTGAAATACATCCCTTTATGAGAGAGGGCAATAAAACCACGAGGAGCCAGCCCTTTGTGGGGATGCCTGTGGCTGGTGAGGAATGTTGTGAGCCCAACAATCACAGTGCTACCCTGTTGCTCCAACTCTGCTTTTCTATTTTGAGGGGTGCTATTTGCATGGTCCCTGGGAGAAAGGCCTCCCTTGTAATTATCAATATACTTAATGTACAGCCTGAGCTCATATTACAGTTGCTTGGTACATAATGTTCGGAAAAATAAAGCTTTCAGCCCCACAAGACATTCTCAGATGGTGCTTAGACTGCTTGCATCAGCAGCTCGTTCTCCTCTGCTCCTGCTTGCTCGGCCCACACTGAGGAGCCATGTCGATAGCACACACTGCTGCTGAGTACATGCTCTCTGATGCTCTGCTCCCAGATCCCAGCAGTTCCCGAGCCAAAGGCCTTCGTCTGGAATTACCAAGTGACCGCATTGTGAAATTTGTTGCTGTGGGGCTGCCCCTGTTCCTTGTGTCCTTGGCTTTTGCTCAAGAGTTTTCCACCGGTAAGTCTCATGGCATAGTGTTGAGGTTGCAGTTAAATCTCTAAGGGGAAACAACACAGGACTGAGTTGGGGCTGTACACAGACTCCAGTAGTTTCATTTGCACTTATTTCCAGTGACTTTTATGTATGTCCTGATATTGTAGAAGGTTCAAAGAGTGACAAGACAAGTAATGAGAACAACCCAAGTTAGTGGAGGTGGGGGAAGTTTTAGAAAGGGAACCTGGGTCTGGGACTTGTGCAATCTCTGATTTTGAGAGTCAGAATGAGACCTAGATGAGGCGGGTCATTCCCTACGTGCCTGCTGCAGGCTCCTTGCGCTTGTGCCTTCCCATGGAACATGTTACTGGAGACAGATTGGGCCAGATGGGCCTGAGGTTTTATCCAATCTGGCAAATCTTGTGAATCACCTGGGATCCCCTTGGAGACCATGTTGCCTGTTAATACAATGGGAGTGCTGAGAAAAGAACCACATTGCTGGTACGTGCATAAGCACAGAACGGGCAGTCAACACCCAAAACCCTTAGGATTTAAGGGGGAATCTGCTAACAGAGGGGAGAGAAGCCACTTTTGGCCTGGAACTACCAGAAGGACCCTGTTCACCAGAACTCTGACAAAAGCTGTGGTTGCTACCCTCTCCTTGGAGTACCCAGGTCTTTGCTGATGTGATGGCATTGCATCTTGCTGGCTGGTCATCCTGGGTCGGGGAATTTCTGTCTCTCCTCTCCCTCCCCTGACATTCCTGAGTGTTCTCGGAGGCTGTCTCTTTCTTGCATCCCCTAGGAGAGCCAGGCCAGCCAGGAGCTTTTGGATGGTGACAGTGCTTGAATTGACTCTGCTTTCCCTAGTGCACAGGGCCTGGTCTGTGATCATGTTACACAAGGTGGCATTGATAGCATAATTAGATCCATTTTAACCTCAAGCAAAACATGGACTTGGATGATGTTCTGCTTCCCCAGAGATTTTGGTTTGACTTTCTTGCTTTTAGCTTTTCCGTCAGGCCTTTCTCCCGCTGCCACATACCCTATGTCCTTCCCTGTATCAGCTCAGTGCTGCAAGAGCATTCAATAAAACTGAAACTGGTACAACCGAACCCAGAATGGATACGTGAAAACTCCTTTTGACAGAGTGAAAAAGCCTTCCACGGGGCCTTGCTGAGGCAAACAGTTTAGGATTGAAATCAAAGTTGAACAAAACTAGTTATTCCAGGTGAGAGGTGTAGCCAAGAAGAAATATTCTCTGTGGAAATATTAGAGGTTAATTAATCACGATGATGGTTTGCACTGTTCTCTAGAACAGTGATTCTAGCACCCTGGGGTGCCTTGAGACCCCCTTAAAGGTGTGTCAGAGTGCCACACTGTCAACAGTGGTAGGTAGCAAACATGATTCACAAAATAATCTCAGAGATTTCAAATAGAAATTCATAGTTATGGTCTTTTCTGTTGCAAAGAACTCTGACAATTGCTCTATTTTTCTGTAGTCAAATAAAGAGTGAAAATTAAGAGCTGGCATTTTTCAAGGGGTGCCTCGAGTCTATCCAGCGGTGTCTCAAGTCTAAAAAGACTGAGAACCACTGCTCTAAAATGTGTGGTTCTGTAGAGAGAAAGAATAAAATGTTAGTTGGTCCATTGAAGTGAACCAGATTTTCAGTGTAGCTATAACATGTGAAAGAGAAATTGTGAGACACATCCTGGAAGTCTCACACAGCCAGGAATAAGAGGTTAAAAATGAGAGATGAAATTTCAAAACGTATGGTGCATCTGAAGTGAGGAAACTCTAGTTTGGAGCTCAGTTTGATGGATAAAGCTGAATTAATCACTGATTGAAAGTTAGTAGTTGCCTAGAGACCAGTGGCATGACCAGATTATATTCAGTCTGGGCAAGTACAGGACTGTCTCAGCCAGTTATATAATCTGTAGTGCTTTGAAAAGGCTCATGCCTGAATGCTGAGGAAGAATTTAGTGCAACTGATCAGAAGAAAAAATGGAGACAGAAAAGATGAATGAAAATATGGTATATTTTTAACCAAAATAATTTTATTAGCTGGCCCTAAATCCATAATTCCACAATTGAGGAGGTGGCAAATAGGCATAAAACAGGTATATATAACAAATGGAAATGCGGGAACTAAATCACAAGCAACATAAAGTATATTGATTCAATGAGAGATGATGATGGGGTGGGGGGGTGGTTGGGAAGACTTTGGGAATCCTTAAGCCTTTTTGGAATAAAAATCAACCCTAGCCATGACATAGAGCCCTCATTGGATGGAGATGGTAAAATTGTTAATGACTATGCAAAACAGGGTGGGCTGTTCAGTTAACATGTCTGTGCTTATTTGACAAGAGGGAGAATGCTATGCTCCTATTACCTGACTGCAGTAAAATACTCTTCAGGTCAGCAGTAACCAAGGGGCATTGTAAAGAACAGGATACATCTAGGGAGAAGGGGTCCAGGCCAGACCTACAGGATGGGGAGCTGTATCCTGGAGTGCGGGGGCTGAGAAGGATTTAGGAATCATAGTTGTCAAACTACTGAATGTGAGCTCTGAGAGTATGGTAAAACAGGTGGATGCAATCTTTGGCTGAGTCTATTGCATAAAAGAAGAGAGGGGTTTTACTTCTGTTGGTGGCACTGGTAAAGCCAATCCTAGGCCACCATTCCCAGTCTGTCTGCAGATGTGAACAGATTGGAGAAGGTACAGACAAGCACAGAAGTGCTTCAGGGGCTACAGGGAATGCCTTGTAGAGCGGTACTTGAGGTTCAATCTGGTTAGACTGGCAAAAGTAATGTTGGGAGGTGATTAGCAGCAGTGCCTAAGTTGCATCAATTTGGAGACAAGCCTAATGGACCCTTCAAGTCTAGCAAAGAATGCCAGCATGGGAGCTGAATGCAGGCAGATTTGAATGGGATTAGAGGATAGCATGGAGAGTGGTGACCCACCAGAGGAGAGTCCAAATCATCGGAGGAGAGGTGGATTCTCCATTTCCAGATGTCTTCAGAACCACTGTGGAAGATGCTCTAGTCACACCCATGTTACCAGACTCTGTACTGTATGCGGGTAACCAGGGGACCTGACTTGGGTTGGGCTAGATGATGGGAGAGCCTCTCCTAGCCCTAAGTTCTGTGAGGCAAGGCTTCAATCCTCCTGCTGTAGCCAGCTGATGTCTCATTATGGAGCCAGAGCACACTCCTCTCCAAACAGCTATTTGTGTCTCTGAACTCAGTTTGAGGTTTGTGGCTTGGAGCAACTGTTTGGGAGGTGCAGTGTGCCCAGGCCCAGGACAGCACGTTTGGATTGGCTTGCTCAGTCTGCTGGAACAGCCAGAGGTTCCCTACAGTTATTGGTCTCTTGCATGGAGAATAGGATGCCCTTATTGACCAACTTCCTGGTCTTCTGTAGCCTCTTTACAGCTGTGGGAAGCGGTGCTGCCAGAATGAGTCTCCAGGGCTGGAATCCTTTAAAACTCCATTAACAGAGCTGGCCCCAGGGCTTTGGGGAACCCTGGACAGGTTACTCTGTAGGCTTCCCTGAACCAAAGCTGTGATCTGGTGCATGGTGGCAGCTGCTGGAGTCTGCCTCGCAGGTGCTAAGCCAGCAGCTGCACTTGGCTTTGTCAGCAAATGCTGGCCTGGCAGCCACCTCATGCTGCATGAGGCACAGCTGGGAGCTCCACTCTGCTCAGCCCCTCTAGCTAACAGGCTTGCAGCTGGAAGGGGAAGGAGAGAGCTGATGGAAGCAGAGTGCATGTTGACTGCCTTCCACCTGGAAAATCATGAGCCTGTCCCAGGGCTGCTGGAAACATCTTCATGCAGAGCAGCTGGGGGATTAGGTAGCAGGGCCAGGGAAGAGTAGCAGTATAGGGGTTCCCCTGTCTGAGGATCTCTGAGCTGTGAGCAATCATGTGTGTTCCAGGCTCCAAGATCAGCTGCTTCTCTCCCACCAATTTCACGGGGAAGCAGTCTGCCTATGTGGATACATCCTGCTGGGATTCCTTGACCCACCTCGAATTTGATGCTGCTGGAAATGCTATTGCCAAATCCCTGTGGACTCTCAAGGTATCGGGGCTGTTGGGCTGGGCCAGCTCTGTATTAAAGGGGCATTCACAGACTCCCAAGCACATGTAACACCAACCTTGCATGCTAAGAGCTGCCTCATCCTTGTTGTTTACCCAGGCCTTTCCATATTCTCTGCTGGTCATCGCGGTGGTCATGTACCTGCCATACCTGCTTTGGCGGTATGCTGCAGCCCCAGCGCTGAACTGCGACATGCTCTTCATCATCGATGAGCTGGACAAGTCCTACAACCGCTCCATCCGCCTGGTGCAGCACATGGTGAAGGTGCGGGAGGCCAGCCCGGAGCCTGGGCTCTTCTGGGAGGAGTTTGAGAGGCGAGTGGATGGGCAGGGCCTCCTTGCAGCCACCCTTTTTCTGTGATCTCCTTCTTCCCCTAGCACTTGTATGGCCCCTTCTTTTGAGAGGTGTGGAGGGCGGAGGTGTCCTGAGCCGGGCAGGGCCATCTAGGCCCTCTGCGCACCCTGAATGAGAGATGGACTGAACGAAACATGCCACATTGCTACAAGTGACAATTCCGGGTCTGCCATTCTGATGACCCCCCCTCCCCCGGGCCGCCATTGGTCCTGTTTTATACCAGACCGTCCTGTTTTTAAACCCTTTGTCCCCTGTCCGTTTCTCAGTGAGGAAGGACTGCCATCTGTCCTCATGATGCTATGGGCTGTGCCCAGCCAGGAGATGGGTTCCAGCCAGCCAGGGTGGGAGGTGGTGGCTCCACCCCTTGCTGCTGATTTGGCCAGAGAGCCCAGTGGCCCCACCTCTCATCGCTGATTGGCTGAGGCAGAGGCCCCACCCCTCACCACAGATTGGCTGAGGGGGCTGCCCCTCACCAAGAGCTGTCCAGTATTCTGGGGGTGCTTTAGTGGCCCCCCTGCCCCAGCCCCTCAGCTTGGGGCCAGAGGGCCCCTCCGTGCTGATCTCCAGGTGGAGTTTCCTGCCTGGGGGAGGGACCCTCGTATCACAGTTCTCAGCACCCTCAGCCAGCCTCGTGCCACCTCCCGCTCCTGTGCAGCTGTGCTTCCAGGCCCTTTCCTTGCCTGGGCTGCCCTCGGGCCCTCTGGGCAGGTGGGCTCCCCAGTGCGCCGACTGGAGCTGGGCTGTTTCCCTGGTTTTGCGCATGGGGGAACACTGCGGCCCCCACTCTTCCCCTCTGTGGCTCCCAAGCCTGTAGTGAGGGGGGCTGGTGGTGGATTCCCTCTTGCACACGGGACAGGAGATCTGTGGCTGGAGGCCCCGTCTCTGCAGGGCTTTCTGCTTAATCTGGTCCAGGAGACATTTCTTCAGCACTTGCTGTCTCATCCTGTTTACAGCCTGGGATGCGCTCAGCCTGCGCCACACAGAGGTGGGTGTGAGCCTATGAACTGTAAAGGTGCAGGCCACATCCACCAGTCGCTGCCCATTCCCCTGTCAATGCCTCCTGTTGCCTCCTGTCCTCTCACCATTGCCCCAGCTGGGACTCTGGCCTCACAGCATGATGGTGCTTTCCAGGCTGTGTGGATCCCGGGGCACTGCACTCTGATAACGAGGTGCTGAGGTGGTGTGATGTTACTGTGAGACGGGCTCTCATGAGGAAGGAGCCTCATGCTGAGTGGAGTGCAAAGCTCAGTCAAGCCTAGGAAGCCTGTACAAAGAAAGACTCCCATTTAATGTTGGGGGGATTTGGGGCCTCTGTGTATCTCCTCAGCACTGAATCTCCTGACTGTGCTGCCCCAGCCTAGCCCTGCTGGGCTGGTTCCCATTCTGTTCGTTGTTGAGTGACATTTATCCAGCACGTTGGATCACTGGGGTGTAGCAAGGGCACTGCCTGCAGCTGGGCAGGGGAAGAAGCTGGGCTGGGGTGCAGGTATGGTACTGCCTCTTGGCTTCAAGTGCAGTTCCACAGGCACCCCTAGCACCTCGTTGTGCCTCTGTGCTTGAGGCAGGGTCGTGAGGGAGTCTTCCACCTAACACCCTGGTGCCAAGCTCTGATTCAAGAGCTAAATCCCAGACTTGGATGGGACAGGGCTAGGACCTGGTTGTGGAGTTCAAGTGCCAACCCCTTGGCTGCTGACACTGGGATCCAGCCCTGACTGCTCACTGTCTCCCCAGGGCTCGCAAGGAGAGATACTTTGAGTTCCCACTGCTGGAGCGGTATCTGGCCTGCAAGCAGCACTCGCATCACCTGGTGTGCACGTACCTGCTGCGGAACCTGCTGCTGCTGCTGCTCCTCACTGCCACCTGCCTCTACCTGGGTTTCCTCCACGTCACAGGCGTCTTCCAAGATGAGTTCAGCTGCTCCATAAAGACTGGGCTTCTGCAGGATGAGCCCCACATCCCTGATTTGATCCCCTGCAAGCTGGTGTTCTTCTCTGTCTTCCAGATCATTAGCATCCTGACAGGTGGGGTGTACATCCTGCTGATGCCTGTTGTCATCTACAATGTCCTGCAGCTGTGCCAGTGGGACAAGCGGCTCCTGTTCATCTATGAGATGCTGCCGGCCTTTGACCTCCTGAGCAGAAAGATGTTGACCTGTCCCATCAACGACCTGAACATCATTCTCCTCTTCCTCCGAGCTAACATCTCGGAGATCAAATCCTTCAGCCGGTTGAGTGCGGTATGCACCCTGCGGGAAACCACCTCCAACAAGCAGCACATTGACACCGTGGTTGACTTTATGACCCTCTTGGCTGGCCTGGAGATATCCAAGCCTAAATACCAGGCTTGCACAGGAGAGGCTGATGGAGATGCACCTCTAACACAGAACGAGGTCTTGGGTAAGAGCCACTGCAGTGACTGGAGAGCTTCTTCCTTCCCTCCCTGTTGCTTCAAATCAGCAGCTAAAGGAAAGGATGGAGATGTCTGTGGATGGCCAATGACAACCAAACACCAAGGCACTGGGAAAGTGCTGTCCTTTCCTTAGCAGAGTCTTAGAACTTAGAGAAGCACAGGTCTTACTTGCCACTTCGGCCATGGCAGCCTGCAAGAGGCTCCATGACTTCCTCTGGGAGAAACTATCCTACAGCTGAATGATCTGATTATTTCTTGATAGGCCTTTTCCATTTTCCTTGCATTCATCCCACTCCTCCCACTTTCCCACTTCTTCCCTCCAAGCACCTGTTGGTAGGACTGGCAGGGTAGGTAATGCCGACCAGTGGGACAATGGGTTCAGTTTTCTTTCTCCGTACTTAGAATTGCTCCTGCATTGCAGCAGTTGATTTGGAGATCACGAGCGCTCCAGGCAGAGATGTGTGGGGCCCAGGTTCCACTGTGGGAGGTCTCTGGGCACAACCATGATACAACTGTTTGTGAGATTACAACTCCTGGTAAATGTAAAATCCAATCTGCTCCTAAGCTCTCTGATTGGGTGACTTCTGGAGCAACAAGGTTTTGGCACATGTGCCTACCTGTAGCTTACTTTTTTTTTTTTTTTTAAGGGAAATTTTTTCATGTTCCAAGTCAAATCAGCCAGATCAATTGCAAATCCGTGAATCATTCAAGAACCAAATGTGGCCCTACTACCAGCAAACATCCTCTAGCCCTTGCCCAGGGCTTCAGATGCTTCCAAATCCTTTGGCAGGCATCTCATGTTGCAGGCCCAAGCCCGGAAGCTTGGGGTTTGGATGCCCGAGTTTTGCTTGACCTCAGCCATATGTTAGAGCAAGCTAGGGAGGAGTCTTCCGTTTCCATAAAGTCGGCGTGTAGCCAAGATCCTCCCACTGGAAGCTGGCCAGCGGGAAGCTAACTATGAGGCTCTCATAGGGAGTCCTTTCCGCAAGCAGAAGAGGGCGCAACCCTTCGCTACGCAGTGCCATTTTAATTGCATTACCTCGGTCTGGGTACTTCCCTTACCACCATCATGGTCATGGTATTTCCCCTGCCAGGTATTGCTCTCTGTGTGCAAAACCTCAGCTGCCTAGGACATCTGTGAAGCCAAAGGAAAACTCCCGTAGCCTAGGGATATTCATGCCTCACAGCATGTGCCCCACCTGGATCTGCCTGGTCTCCCTGGCCCTGGGGTACTCTCCTCTCTTGCTTTGGCCTCCTAGATTTTCCTTTGTAGCTGCAAAGAATCTTAAAGTTTTACTGTGCTTCACAAGCCCTGGACCCCCAGTGGGCAGGGACGACAATGGGGAAGGACTGTGGGCGGGAATGGCCTCCCCCTCAAGGTAGATATGAGCACTGAGGGGAGGCAGTGAACCTTTCTTGGTTGCTGGATGCTTCATGGGATTATGCATGTGGGTGAGGGTTGCCATGGTTACAGCTGAACAAGCTTCACTGAGACATCTGAGAGTTTGCAGCTGAAAGTCCTGGCTGGTGCGGGGTCAGGGAGCAGGGCTCAGCACTGTGGCTCAGGTGCTTGATCCTGTGCACACCACACACAGAGCAGAGTTGTCTAACTTCACTGTGACTTAGGGCTGGCTGCACCTGGTGCCGGACTGCTGCCTGTATGCTGCAGGAGATGTGCCCCCACAGGACAGGCAATGCCCCCCCAGGCCTTTCTCTGCTGTGCAGCAGTGGGGGAGGTGGCTGTAGGGGCTGGCAGGCTGCCATTAGGTGCCTCAGGTGACTGCTCTAAGAGCCTGTCCATCCCACCTCTGACAATACAGGCCTGTGATAAGAGTACAGGCCTGGGAGCCAGGACACTTGGGTTCTCTTCCCAACGCTGCTAATAGCTCTGTGATGCCCTGTCCATTCCTGTGCTTCAGACTCACCTTCTGTAAAAGCAGGACATGGTCTGTACCCCATGTAAGCTGCCTGTGGTTGCTATCTGAAAGGATTAATAAAGCAGGGGCTGGCAAAGCCAGTTTCTCAGTCTCCCTCCTATAAACTCTGATGCCCACAGGCTGGATTGCCCCAGAGACCTGTGGAGGGGAGGCACTTCCAAAGTGCTTGGCCCTGCTGTCCCTCACCTGCATGCAGCCCATACAGCACAGAAGAGCCGGACCAATGACTTTCACTTCAGCCTGTGTCTCTATTTTAGGTGCTGGCACTATGTGTGCAGCTGGCAGTGGACGTAACTTCCCAGCATAATGACAGCTTAGGCTTTCCCTTCCAAGGCATCCAGCATCATGTGCTCAGCCAGGATGCAGACAGTTCAGCCCTGTGTTGGGTAAATGCTGTGGGGCCCCAGGAGGACTCAGCCCCTAGGCTCATGCTGCCCTGCCATGCACATCTCACCTGCCCTAAACCAAGGGAGATGTGTTTGTTGCTCTCAAACCATATAGGAGCCAAAACAGCTGTTGGCACGGTGACGGGGATGCTGATACACAACCACAATGCTCAGCGACTATAACATTCAAGGGCCGTGTCTCAATCTCAGCCAGCTCTGTCAGTGCAAGAGTTAGTCATGGGGGTGGAAGGGTGAAGGCAGTGAGTATCACCTGCTTGGTCCAGTCTAGCATGGCCGAGGGCACATGGACTCTAAGTTAGGGGGCTGGAGCTGGCTTTGTTGGTCAGATGCTGCTTGCCCTGCCTGCCTTGGAGACCTGAGGTGAAGAGCCCCTGCTTGGCCCATCCACAAGGGCCTTGCTGTCTGGAAAGACCTAAAGACCCAGACCTGATCTCTGATTCTGCTTTCTGCTTCTCATGACTCAGGGCAGCATTACAGGAGCTTGGTTGGGCTGACAGCACCTCAGAGCAAATCCCTCCTCTCCTCCCCCCCTACTTACTTCTCACCCCAGCTGCCCCCTCCCACCTGCTCCACTACAGGTTTCTAGAGGATCTTGCAGGGTGCTGAGAGTCCTCAGCCTCCATGAGGGCAAAAGGTCTTCATCCTCTCCAGACCTGGGCCCTGTTATGCTCTCAGTAACATGCAACTCACATGCTTGCAGATGTGCTACTTCAGTGGTACCATCATGTCCCTCAGATGAAGGGAGGAGCAGGTCCAATACTACCCAGATTCACTGGTGACTTTCTGTCTTCTCTTCCCTGCCTAGAAATGAAGTCCACATTGGAAGCTAAAGGAAATGCTGGTCCCAAAGCCCTGGCAGCTCTGCCTGATGGCAGGAGCTAGATGGAGCCTCAACAGCGGAGGGGAGATTTCCATGGAATGAAGAGAAGTTGTTGTGGCAGCTGAGCATTATAACCAGTGATTAATCCCCAAGCAGATGCAAGCCACTGGCCCGTGGCCTGGCACTGATGAGACACCTCTGTGCTCCCTCAGCAGACATTACTGTGCCTGAACCTGACATCTCCTCAGTCTTTGTCTAAGGCATCTTTCAGCTTCCATTAAACCTGTTTTATCCAGACTGTTGCTGCTCTCCCTGCGTTCCCTGGGGTGCTGGTGGGAGGGCAGCTTGGCCTGATTTCATGTAGCGGCTAGTTCTAGAGCTGCTCCTGATTTGCACATTCACGAGTGAGAACAGGATCCAGCCCAGGACACTGGGAAAGGGTGAGTAGGACCTCAGTTATTGCTGCTCCTGCTCCTGTGAATTCCCTTGGCAGAAGCAGGCAGGGTTGAAGGACGGCATCATGCTGTACTCACCCAAAGGCCCAGTAATGAGTGGCTGTTCCCACTGGGATGGTGCTCACCTGATCTGCTTCTACTGTGGGTGTCCAAGCTTTTGCACCCACAGGACCAAGCAGCTGGGCTGGGGACTGTTGCTCTCAGGAGGAGGGGAGAGGGAAGGGAGGTAGCTCACCAGCAGCACCTGGGAGGGGAGCAGGTCTGGTGGGTAGTGCTGACCTGGGCTTTGCTGCCTGGGAGCTCAGTTTCTTTCTGTCAGGTGACCTTGCTGTAGTGTCAGGGATTCCCAGGCTGCCGTGGAGGGCCCAGCACCCTGTGCAGAGCCTTGCCGTGCCCCAGGTGATGCACAGGGCTGAAGGCAGCCAGTGTGGAAGCGCTAGGGAGCAGAGTGAGTCTTTTACTCCATCCTGCCTAGGATGCAGGTGTTTTGCTCTGAGCTGCAGGGAACCCCTCCGTGCTCAGACTTCCCAGCCTGAAGTCCTTCCTGGAGGTAGGTGCCCATTGCCTCTCTCAAGAGCTGAACTTCCAGACAGTTGCAGGAGGAGGGGCTGGTGTCTCCCTCCTCGTAACTCAGCCTCCCCAAGATGCAGGAGACCATGGTTTCAGTTTTCTTCTTCCTGAGGAAGTTCAAATACTTGTCTCCCACCTCCCTGGGAAGTGTCCCAGCCTTTCCTGTCCAGCTGTGGCTGCGCAGGGGTAGATGAGCATCTTCACCCCTTCTCTGAAAGCTCTTCTACAGTAAGGACTAATGAAAGGGTTGTTGGCCCAGTCAGAAAACACAGGAGTGTGATTCTGGCCTAGTGGTTCCTGTCCATGCTCTGTGCTTTAGATAAAATGTCAGTATAACCCAGGCGTACTCAGTTATATACTCCCCTTTTCCAATTGAAGGGAATTGTTAGCTGGCAGGTGTGCTTTGGGGAAACTGCAGACCACTTGGTTTCCTCCATCCCTCCAAACCCAGTCAGGACAGTCAGGGGACTTAATGTAAATAAATTTGTATATAGTTAACATATCACAAGGAAAAGAAACATGGATATAAACATATATATCTATCTAAACAAATAACATAAACAATACCCTCTGGGTAAATGCTATAAAACCTTATACCAGTGCTTCAGATACAGGTAAGTCACAGGTAAGTATCTGATCTGAAACAGATAAACCCTAAAATAAACATAGATAGGCAATAGATAAACTATAGATAAGTATAGGTGAACAATAAATAAGCCACAAATAAATACAAATAAACAACAGGTGAAATAATAGCAAAAGGGGGTCCCAGCAGAGCCCTAGGACTCTATTCATCTACTAGTTTACAAACATGAGAGTTCACAAAAAATAAGGCACAACATTAGGCCACTTATGGCACAAGAACTTCAAAGATAAACTTAATCCTAAGGGGAAACCCCAATGCCTTTGGGCTTTTTCCCAAGCCCTTCAAGGAAGCTGGCAACTTCAGGGGGGCCCTTCCAGTGGGACCTTCACTTTCAGGAGCCCTTAACTAACCAGGGGGGACCCCCCCTCCCTTGTGGGAATCCTTTTTCCCTGCAGCTCACAACTCCCAGGCCTGGAAGACGATCCTCGTCCTCTGCACCAAGCTGCTCTCTCACCTGCAGTGGCCTTCGGGGTGGAGGTCCCTGGAACAGGGCCCCTGGAACAGGGCTCCACTATTCAGGGCTTCTGGGGCCTCTGGCTCGGTCTGCTAGCTCAGTAGCTTGAGCACTGTCTGGCTCCCTGGACTCAACCTTTTGCTATGGGTTGGAGGCCCAGGCTGCCTCATGCAGCACTGGACTCGGTTCGCTCCCGGACCCTCCATGCAGCGCATCCTGCACTGAGCTCCCAGCCTTGTGCCGTGGGTTGGGGACCTGAGCTGCCCAAGTGCTCCAAAGATCCTGCTCCATGCACTGGCCTGTGCACCATGTCTCTGGCCACACGCCAGAGGTTGCAGACCTGAGCCGCCTCATGCAGCTCCCAGGGTGTGGACACTGTGCTGCGCACCAAGAGCCTAGCTGCTGGAGCCATCTGCTGTTCCCCACCGATGGAAGTCTTCAGGGGTGCTTCTGAGCTACTGCTTCACCCAGCTGAGCAGCTTTCCTCAGCTCTTCTAAGCCCCACTCTTTTCTGTCCCAGATGTGTCTCCTATACTAGGCAAGCAGCTCCTTTTATATTTTTCAGGGCTCCGCTCTGACCTGACAGTGTTGCAGTCTACAATCAGGTCTGGGGGAAGCTCTTCTCCCCCTCCCCTCAGGAAAGGGGCATGACTTAACGCCTCTTGCCGCCTCCTGATTGGTGGATAGGCTTCACCAAAACAGCAAAATCTCAAGCCTGGGACTCAACCCAAGCTCCAAAAGGAAAGCCTGCTACACCAGTTTAATAACCTGACAACCACCCCTAAGGACTAACTGAAACAGGGTCTGGAATTCAGGTTTCCTACGTCTTGGATGAGCTTTCAAACCACTGAGCTACTGACTGATGCTGGGGATGATGCCCCCTCTTCCTCCTCCATCCACTTTGTGCAGGGCCTGTTGAATAAGGCATGTTTTGAGGATGCCCACCTGGCTGGGCCTGCAGGCACTGAGGGATGGGGTGCAGAGAGAAACGTCCGCCTTGCAGATGCTGGGGAGAGGCAGGTGCTGAGCTACTCACACTGTCAGTGGTGAGTCACTTGGCACACATGCAGATGCAGAGCTTGAACTGCCTGGAGCACTTCAGGCACAAAGCGGAGGCACAGACTAATTTTGGGGAGAGGGTGTCAGGCAGAGCAAGGTCTCTGAGAAGCACAATTCTGGATTTGGGTGACAAGTAAAAACTAGTTAGGATTTGGACATTTAGGATTTAGGTCCAAAAAAGGACTTGTGTACTGACAGGGATGGTGCCGCAATGCCTAAATCCTAGGTGCTGGGACCCCCAAGAGTTGGGGGCCCAGGCTCCCTGTATGGTACAGCAGGAGCTGGGCACAACAGGACACCCAAACAGGACAACACTGCCTGGAGCTGACTGAGGAGAAAACCCTGAAGACACAAATGACTGCAAACTCCTTACCTTGAACTGGAGGCATCAGCTGACCATGTCAGGGCTGAGGGAGGGACTTCGTGTATGTGGGCTCCCTAACCCAGAACTGTCTTCTGAGTGTAGGCACCTGCTTCCCAATTCAGTGCACAGGTTTCCTGGCTTCTCTCACAGCCTGACTGGAAGAGGTACTGCCACCCACAGCTGATATCTAGCCAGCTGTTCACCTTCCTGTATTTGTGTTTTTGATGATTTCTTCTGGATTTTTAGAGTGCATTTTAACAGTCCTTGAAGCAGCATGACACTGACTACTGTGGCAGGTTAGCATGCTATGTCTTGTTGACATGCAACAAGGTTGACTGTGTTGTTTTAGGCAGAAGGCAGGGAAGCTCCCTCCCTCCCCCAAAGCCCATTCCAGTGATCGTGGGGTAAATATTCCTGATTCTAAATGTGGTGACTGATCTTCTTAGCAGAGGGGCAAGTGTCTTCATTTGTTCTAAGTACCAGTAGGAGCATCAACAACGCCCCCAATTACAACCTCCAGCCTTGGCTACAGCTAACTTCTAATGCTTCTGAGGAAAGTGAATCAAAATGTGCCATTCGTAGCTACAGGAGAGGAATAAAATTCCTTCCTGGACACATGGTGACCTGCAAAGCCCGGAAGCCTGGAATAATCCAATATCCTCTACTCTGGGTGCATCTACACGTTCATTAATGAGCAGTAATTACAGCACATCAGTGCTACTCCGCAGTAGCTGGCACATGTTTTCTACTGCACATTAGTGCATTAGCACGGGTTTTGCCTGCCGCGCTAATGTGCAGTAGAATTAGTCTACTGCACTTGTAGCACCTTGTGTAGATGCACCCTCTGTACTGCAACCTGGGACCACAACACAAATCCACCCATCACACACCCCAACTGGAAAGCAAGAACTTCCCTGTCTTCCGGTCACTTCCAGAAACTTGTTCCATCTCTTTTATCTTGTTTTGTAATCAAGCTAATTGTGGAGCTCTGCTTCATTCTCCTGATGCTGACCATGGTCCACCCCAATATCTGATGCAGGAAACCCTGTAAAGTGTAAAGTGAGAAATATCAGCTGAGATTAACATGGGCAACTGGTGGCACTTAAGTCAAGGGGGCACAGCAAACAGTCCCTCCACAGCCAATCTTACCAACCGGGTTGGGGGGGTCCCCTGCAGCCAATCTCGCTCCTGGAAGAGGCCGTGGTGCTTCATCCGGCACTTCCTGGCCAGCACTCCCACCTGCCCATCACCTAAGCAGGGAGCATGGCCTGTCAGGGGGTGCACCAGCGCTCTCAGGGGCACACCCTGTGTATTGCCACTGAAGATTAAAGAGCATGACGACAGCAAGTGTATAAATAACAATTTTTATAGTTACTTGCATGGGTAACTGGTGCCTCCTGAGACTGGGGGGGCAGAATTTGTGGGTAGCAGCGTTGGCAGCGGGGTGGCAAGTGGTAACTGCCCACAGAAGCTGGCAGTGGTGGCGACAGCAGGGTGGCAAGCAGTGACTGCTTGCAGAAGCTGGTAGCAGTGGTAGCGGCGGTGGCAGCAGCTGGGGGGGAGGGGGTGAGCGGCAACCACCTGCAGAAGCCAGCGTCGGCAGCAGCCAATCTCAGGGGGGCACATGCCACCCCACCCCCTGTGCTCCCCCTACTAGTCACCTATGGTTACTTGCATTATTTAAATTATACAAGATCACTGTATTTGGCAGCTACATAACCAGATGGATCACTGTGGTCAAGG